GTGAGAGAAAGCGATACAAAGTGTGGAGTTATACGTCTCTACAAGAATCGATAATTTATTGGATATAACTTAAAAGTACTAATTTTCTATGAGAAACTTTGATTTTTTGAAAAGTGAATATAAATCTTTCTTTTAAGTTTGTGCACTTTGATTAACATTCCATTTACGGGTCTTGTTATTTTCACAAATTTTTTAATGGTGTGCATATCATTTTTGGCAGGTCTACCCAATCGGCCAACCCGGTTCCGAGACTCATTGGGTCTGGGTCCAAATTTTTAGACCCGATGGGTAAACGGATCGGGTTCAAGTCCTTTGTTAACTTTGTGTGTCCGGATCTGGAACACTGCGTTCCGGCCCAGACCCGACCCATTGACAGGTCTAATTACGTGAGTTAACTAGGAATCAAGAGGTGACCAGCTAAACGGTTGATTTGAAAATTTTATGTGGGGGGGGGGGGGGGGGTTAACTGGATAATTTTGCGTTAGAGTTCTTAATTGACTTTTTCATAATATAGTATGGTGCTTATTTGACACCTTTTCTTACATATGAGTATTTTTCTGAAATTTGTGGATTTAACTAGGTGTTTTTTAGATTCTAACTCCTTAATCGATTTTTTTATATACTACGATGATGTATTTGACTATTTTTCCAAGAAAAAAGTAATCAGGGAAAGAAAAGCATTAATGTCATATGGGTGACCGGTTCATCAATTATGAGCAATACCAATATCGGTAACCAACAGGCAAAAAATATAAGGGAGTGATTGCAAAAAATTAAAAACAAAATGCTTTTCAGCTTTGACTTTTTTTTCGTATTAATGTTAATTAATTAAATAATTATAAAAATAGGGTTGGGTTAAAAGTATTTACCAATATACTGTTGGGTTAACCATGGTCGGGGTAAGTCGCCAAACTGTTAGGCGACTTATAAGTCACTGAACGGTTTGGCGACTTATAAGTCGCCCAACCGTTGGGCGACTTTCCATTAAGTAAAAATATCGGCCAGCCACAAAACAGAAAGATGCGTGACGTAAACCCAATCCCCAAATCCTCCAAGCCGCGGCGACGAAGGACGAAGGACGAACGACGACCGAGCTATTTCCAACTCCAACGAACCTCTATCTCCGGCGATCCCACTCCGGCAAACCTCCATCTTCATCTTCAGCACTCTTTCTTCTTTCTTGTAGGTAAATCAAACTCCATTTCATCTCATTTTGAATTTAGGGTTTTGAATGTTAAAATTTTCGAATTTTTAGATTATGAATTGATTGTGAATTGAGTTGTTGTGAAATGTGGATATGTATGAAATGTTGAAATTTGATTTTAAATTGATTGTAAATTTTAAAGTGTATTTTGACATTTGGGTATTTGGGTAGATTTGAATGTAGCTAAATTTGGGTATTGAAATGTAGACTTGAATGTAGATATCAAAATTGGGTATTTTCATATTGAAATGTGAGTTGTTTGTGAATTTTGACTTTTGGATATATTAGAATTTTGGTAGTTTTTTCTATTGAAAATTTGAATGTGTATAAATTGTGTATATTGATGTCTACTCCTAATAGTTGGACAATGAATTGTTATTGGAATATGGATTTCTCAAGCTTCCCAATTGTGTGTCATTGGGGGAGGGAACTATTATGAGGATGCTGGGCAAATATGCCATGAAGGTGGTACAACCATATTTGTCATGGTTTCTCGTGGTGCTTGCATGCTCGAGATCTTTCAAAAAATACATGCAGCCACAATGATTCATCCTAGCCATTCTTTGCGTTTGAAATTGAAATTTCCCATGAACGGGGGAAAGTACATGCTTATGCCCCTCATTGATGAGCTAGCTATAACAAATATGTGGGGCATAGTTCAGATGGAGGACATGTCGACGTTGGAGATATACATTGAGGAATCCATATGTGACGCTTATGGTACTCCATCAACATCAAATGTTGTTGTATCTAGGCATTATGTCAATGCAGGTGTGAACAGGTGTGTTGTATGTTTTATAATGTGTTGTATCTGGCTCGTAAAACTTAAACAGGAGAAGGGAGACCTTATTCATACCAAACAGATGAGTCTGGGTTGAACTGGGGCAAAAAAAATGGTGAAATTCTGTTTTCGGAATTAGGCACGATCGTGCTTACCCTTGCAGGCACGATCGTGCGTGGCTGGCAGTAGCTGCTGGTCTGCGTTCATATGGAAGGGGTAAGTCACCCAACGGTTGGGCGACTTATAGATCGCCCAACGGTTGGGCGACTTATAGGTCGCCAAACGGTTTGGCGACTTATAAGTCACCCAACCGTTGGGCGACTTTCCCTGACCATGGTTAAACCCAGCAGTAGATCGGTAAATATTTTAATCCAGCATTATTTTCATAATTAATTAATTAATTAACATTAGTTCGAAAAAAAACTCTTCAGCTTTTGGCTTACGAAAAGTTGAAATGAATGCTTTCAAGTGATTCTGCTTAAATTAATCACTTAAAAGCCAAAAGCTGGAAGCAGGTTGAAGGGTGCTTTAAAGTTTAAACTACTTTTAACTTTTTCTATTACACAAAGCACTTATTGTACCAAACACTACAAGTTTTACTTTTTCAGAATCAATTTTTTCTCAAACACTATCAACTTTTACTTTAAGCACTTTCTCAAAAATCATTTTTTTAAAGTAGAAGCAATCGCAAGCACTCGTTAAGTTGAGTGTTTGTTTATAGTTGAGAGGTTTGATTGCAAGAGTAGAGACAGGGGAGGATGGAGGGGGGTTCAGACACCCCAAGGGAAAAAATGTGATGTATATGCATGTATATAAATATTTATAGGCAACAAATAGAGTGAAATTTGAAGTTTTGGCACCCACAACGAAAATTCTTGGCTAAAGGGTCAAATAGGCCATCGAACTAACTTAAAAAGTGCAAATCACCCCTTATATAGGAGGCTGTGTCTGGCCATCATCCTTCCTATATAAGGAGTGATTTGCACTTTTTAAGTTAGTTCGAGGGTCTATTTGACCCTTTAGCCAAAATTCTTTAATCTCGTTCCCCCCACCCCCAACCTATCATTTCTTACTCCCCCATTGTTTGATTGGGTAATTGGATAGTATAAAGACTAAATTAAGTTTTTGAATAATACTTGTAGGTCCCAAAATGGACACACATAGACTTTTCAAGAAAGTTATAACAGAACACTCAGTAAGAAATAGAAAATACGAAAATGAAAAGTTACTAGGGAATTTAGTTGCCGAAATGGTGTCTGTCATTTCATTTGCACTTGCCTTTTATAGGCATTTACAAAAGGTTACAACAATCATCAATAATGGCATATTAATTACAACATTAGTATGACATTAACTACAACATTAATCAATGCATTGATTGTCCCGACTATTACTCTTCCGAGCTAGTTGGGCGCTTGAGCTACTTCTTCCTCTTTAGGCTGGTGTGCGGCTCTCTGATGGACTAGTTGGTTGGCTCACTTTCAACCTGGTAGGCAGGCTCCCATTTGAGCCGATAGGAAGGCTTCCATTTGGGTCAATAGGCAGGCCCCGTTCGAGTCGGTAGACAAGCTCCTGTCTGGGTCGATAGGCAGGCTTCCATCTGGGACAGTGCGCAAGTTCTCGGCCAAGCTAGTAAGCATGCTCCTTATTGAGCTAGATGGCATACTCCTGGCTAGGTTAGTAGGCAAGCTCCTGATTGAGCTAATAGGCAGACTTCAGATTGGACTGATGGGCTCCCGACTAGGTTGGTAGGAAGGCTTCTGACTAGACGAGTAGGTGGGTCAGTCTAGCAAATTGACCGTCTTGGACTCCCACCTTGTTAAACTTCATTCTTTGCCAGACCTTTTCGATTGGACTACTCTTTGATCATTGGGCGGCCTATTGGTCGAGCACTCGAGCTATTCCGATGAGACTAGGGGTGGACTCGGGTCCGGGCCTGGTCCGGGTCGGGCCTAGGCCCGGGCGGGCCGGCGGTTCAGAAATGGTGGACCCGGGACCGGTCCGGGTAACCACCGGGTCCGGGCCGGGCCGGGCCCATTATAATTTTTTTTTTGTTTTCCTCTTCCTAATTAACCCCCCTCCCACCCCCAACCCCCCAAACTACCCCAAATGATCCAAAATACCCAGCTCAACCCGAAAATTTAAAAAAAAAATGAAAAAAAAAATAGGTTTTGGCCCGAACCGGGCTCAGGCCCGGCCGGGTCGAGCCTTGTTTTGGGTGACCCGAGCCCGGACCGAAAAACCCACGGGCCGGGCCTACCCGGACCGGTCACTGACCGGGCCACCGGGTCGGACCAGGCCGGAACAGTACCGGTCCCGGGCCGGTTCCGGGTCGGGCCACCCGGCCCGAGTCCACCCCTAGATGAGACAATGAACTTGTGATTGGGCCTACTAGGCTACTAATCTAAATTGTGAGCTTGAACTAGGAATGGACCGGTTCCGGTTCGAGGCCGGTTCGAGCCTCAGTTCATGAAGGGGAGGCCTCGAACCGGCCCGGGCCGCTGTTCTAATTTTTTTTTTTTTGGCTTTTCTTAGTTAACCCCCAACCCTCCCCCTCACCCCCAAGGCCCCAAACAAACCCTAACCACCTCAAATGGCCCAAAATACCCAGCCCAACCCAAAAACTTAAAAAAAAATCAAAAAAATAAATAAATAAATTGGCCCGGCCCGGGCCCGAACCGGCCGGGCCGGTTCACCTTTTGAAGGGCCCGAGCCCGAACCGCCATCCCACCGGGCCAGGTGGCTCGAACCGGCCAACCAACCGGTTCACCGGGCCGGTCCGGGCCCGCACAGTAGCGGGCCGGTCCGGTTCCGAGCCGATTGGCCCGGCCCGAGTCCAACCCTAGCTTGAACTCGTGTGTCTAATCTCGGGACCGGAACTGATTAAGCTTTGGGCCTAGTCTCATAACTCCATTAAAAGAGAAACCTATTTGACATATTTCTCTTTTGTATACAAACAAATTGTTCTTGCTTACGAAAATGCAAATCACGTCTCATGAAATTGCTTGATTCTAAATTTCTAATTACATGAGTTCTTTATTTCCCTCTGTCCATTGTTATTGAGTTGTTTGTAGAGATTAGATAATAACATACTGAATCATTGAGTGGTAAGAATATATTACACCAGTCTCAGCTCAACATGACTACATAACCAAAAGAACTCTATCAGTGTACTTTTGTGGTTGAAGATTGGACTTAAAAGAAAGGCCTTTTTCTAGGGAGGTATTATAATACAAGCGAAGGGTAAAGTCAGCTTATACTTTGATCATCCTAGCAAGATCTGAACAAGAACAATTTACAGAAATTATACAAAGCTTTTCAAAGAAAAAATAATACTATTGCAAAACTGATAATCCACATTATGCTGAGGGTATGGAATGGGTGGCGGCTCATTCGATCTTTTCCAACACTTCAAACCTGGTTTTTCTTTTCCAACCTTTCATTGTGGCAACAAGGTTGACAAGACTCACCACTTGACCTTTACTGTATTCCTACACAACAAAACACACAGAAAAACAACCATTACGTACTCATCATACAAACGAGTTGAATAAATCTTATGTGGATCTTATATAGATCACCCCCAACTTACTGGATGTGCACGTGACCAATGCACAAATTCGGTTTCTGGAAGGTAGTATGCCTGTTTGCCAAACAACAATGCACCAGTCAGTGATTGAGATAAGATGGAACAAATCAGGGACAACTGAATACAAACACACACACACACATGATCAAATATCAAGACATCATGATGCAGAGTAAGAGGCATCTGTTTGGAGAGATCGGGAGTTCGAATCCTAGTACACATAAACTAAGAATACATTCACAAGAGGCCCCTTTAGTAAAACAGTATTTTCTGTCTCCTTTTTGGGAGGGCTGATTTCAAGGGTTTCGTCCATATTTTGATATACGTATTTGACATTTTACAGAAATTGAAAGAGTAACATAATATGTACAGTAATTGTTTAGCATTTCAATCATCTTTTATTCGTTTTCAGAAACTTCTAGTTATCACGATATGGAATTAGACCATCAAAGCCTTCCTCCTCAAACCATCATCCGAACAGACCCCAAGGAAGAAGATTTCAACCTTTCCACTTAAAAAAAAATATTAATCAAATTCAGAATGGAAGAATTTTGTTGATCACCTTGATATAAGTTTCAACTATCTGTAGCTTTGGCCTCACATCTATGGAAACAAAATGCTTTAGGCCGTTGATTAATACCTGTAACCCAAAGAACTCCACTTGAACTTCCATAACTTTGGAAAAAACAGCACATTCTAGAGATGATTATCATTTCCTGTTTCACAGTAAATGGGAAGCGAACCTGCAGATCTAGAGACATAAGAGCTCTACCCTCATCCGTGCATCTCCTCACCCTTGATAGTCCTTCAACAAGAGTTTCAGCCACATTATCTAGTCCATATTCTAAGAGGAGGTCCTGAGCCTGCTTATGCCAAAACGTAATAAAGTCTTATCAGCATATCATAAATGAAGATAATAACATGACATGTGCATATCATAAAAGCATAGTTTGAAACAGAATTTGATCTGGATACAAAATAAACCACTAAGATACTAAAGCCGATATCTGTAGGTGTATGGAAGGGGGGTCCAAATAAAAACTACCCTTGATAACAGAATACATTTCTTAAGAATCTAATAACAGATTCAGTGGCAGTTCCAAGATAGGTTAAGCTGGAAGGGACAGAATACCTCCTTTTGAATTCCTCCCGTAACAAGCCTAGTCTTGTAGTGTTTGAACTCTCCCAACAATAAATCAACATATCTATTAGCACAAGAAGTTGGAGGTTAACTACTGCGAGGCGATTGGAAACAAGAAGCTTTTCATGATTACAAGTCAAGAGCAACTTTGTTTAGAACGAGAGATTTGAAGAGAGTTCAATAATTCAAGATTTGAAATCATATGTACCACTTTTTGTATACCACTGTGTATCACTCATATTGATTGGCTGAAATAATGCTAACTTTTTAGTTAATAGGGACTATTGACCAATAAAAATGAGCGGCAGACAAGTGATACACTAAATGTGGAATTGAAGATTTGTACTCATATTTCAAGTGTGATGAATAATTTTGAATATAGAAATTAAGGTGGATCTCATTATTCAATGAAGCAATCTTTGTAAAGACTATGAATATGACTTGGCAACATTTCTTATATCATGACAGATTTTTTTCTAAAATTTCTAGTTTCCAGATTAAAACTATTTTTTTCACTTTTGTTCCCCTTTTGTAGTTCCTCACTCTTGGACACTTGCTTTACCTTATTTCTGCTCTCTCATAGATGGATCTGGGGAAAGAACAAATAAATTATGGCAATAGAAATATACCCATTGTGCTCTAACCCAAGATCTTTCAACTCCCATTTAGCATTTGCAATCCTATCAACATACCTGAACCATTCAAAGTCAAAACTATTGTAAACACCCAAGTCTGAAGCAATTCCTACGTTTTTTGAATGGAAATAAATCACACTTCCTACTCAAGCAAAGCAATGGTGGTAATGATAGAAAAAAACAATAATAGCGTACAATATGAAGATTCTGCACTAAGAATATTGATGGATTCATAGGGCATCGGTAACACCGTAAAAGGTGGGTACAAAAAAGATTCTCCATGTGCAAGTGTGATTGGTGGGTACTTATGTCCTTCAAATGATTGATCCAGGGAGCACCTACAATTTCATCAATTCCCAAACAGCCCTCTTATAGTCTCATTTGGCAGCCCTCTCATTTGCTAATGTAGAAAAGCTTCTGAGCATGAGTGCTTGTGAACAACTAAAACTCGCTAAGGATGGCACGAGTGTTCTGATTAATCTTTTTGTCCTACTATTAACTGGTTCAGTATTATCCTTGGAGTGAAATACAACAACAACCTTACCCCAGTGCCGCAGAGGCGCCCACCTACGGTGGGGTAAAGGAGGTCGGATGTAAGCAGCCTTGCCCCTTTACACAAATGTATACCAACTAAAATATAGTAGTAAAGACTGCACTTTTACTGATTTAAAATATCATAGAATTTTTTCTTCTCTTTTTCTAAAAGACAGAAAACAATACTAAAGTTTTGAACTGCATTCAAATTTATACTACCTCCATCCCACTAAGATTGGGACAATTCAGTTTACGATGCTTGACCGACAATAAAGCAAACAGATCCCTGTCCACACTGAAATTATTTATATAAAAAAAATACATATTCAGAAACTACATTAAAGGCTTTACAAAGTCAAAACCAGAATCAAATTTGAAGAAAATTTGATATATAAAGTAAGAGATTAAGAGTGATTTGTGTTGACCAAGTGAATAGGAACGGGACAATCTTAGCGGGACAGAGGGAGTATATCATACTAATAACTTTATTAGACACTAATTGTACATTTATTTCTGATTTTTGGAAGCCAGAAAATTACCCACCCATCATGTGTGTGCTCACTTTTATTAAAGTATATCAGTTAAAATACCAAAACCCTAGAAGGCTATAGAAGTTCCGAAGATTTCCACCTGGTTGATAATTAATTAAGACATTAATATGACAAAACTGGGTTAAACTTGCCTAAAACAGATGCTTAAGCCCCAGGTAGAAAATCCCACACTTCCACCCTGGTATGATGTAAGCGCTCTAATTTCCACCCATGGGATATATTCCCAAAACCTTTTCTGATCTCCCCTCCCTGAGGAGGATCATAAGGTGTAACCCCAGTCTCCTATGTAAACAATGATAAGAATACAAAAGGTGTGTGAGAGTGTTGTATGTTGTAAACATCAATTTTACCAATGAAACAACTCATAAGGTTTTTCAATTTTTATATCATGGTTTCCTTGTAAGAAAATAAATGATCATATGATTGTTTGCCACTTTGCCCACTGAACTAGGTTACGTAAAGAATCCAATATTCCAATGTTTGATCATCTCAGCTTCTAACACAACAAGACAGTTCATGATGCGCTTTCCAAGTTCTAAGGCCATCTTTTAAGGTCCAAGACTTCCAAGAGACCATCAATGCTACTCACCCATTTATGTCCCTTTGATGCTTATGCATTTGAACTTCTTATACACGTTATAATACCCTTAATCTATGCCTAGGAAAAACGAGCAACATCTCACCCATTTATGTGGAGAAATAATCTTGTGGTTGTTCTGTGAATATGTTCTACAAGGTCTGGTACAGCATCCACCTGAAAAGAACCATTGGATGAATTCCTCTTTGAAACACTCAAAATGCAATATGCAGCACCAAGAGCAATCCCTCCATAAAATTACATTTCGTGGTATTCATTTTATGGACAGCAATATGATGTTTAATGAATTTCAAGTTACATAAATATGCAGCAAATTAGATGGAAAACAAATAAGGTACTCAATAATCATTTCCCACAGTTCACTGTTTTAGTTATTCAGGTATACTACAACCAGAAATTAGCAAGACTCTTGTGATCTTTACCCTTTTGTAGCTTAGCTTCCTTTTTAGCTGCATATTCTCTACAGGAATCCTATATATAGTTGTGTCAAGCAACTAGAAATACAACGAGAATAACTTTGTAGTCAGGGTGAGCATACCAAATGCACATAGAAATCTTCAACAGTAGCTGAATTATTATTCAGAAGCATTGATTGCAGATGAGCTTTAGATCTATGTAACAATCGAGCAACAAGAGATATAGTGTCAGCACCTGCACATCTTTCCTGCAATCGTGTTGAGATGTATTATGCATAAAAACAGAGAGTGGACACTTCAATATAACTGCTGCACAAATAATAATCATCAAAACACGGAGAGATATCAATACAATCCATATACGTTTTTTGTAGATATTATTACCAACCCTCTAGCAGAGATGAACTGATTGAATACAAAAAGATCTAAAGTGAGTTGTACAAGTATTGCAGATTGAGCGGCTAGAGTGCCAGCACCAGCATCACTAGTAATACGTGAGATCTTTTATAAAGAAGCAAATAATTGTTGGGCTTGTAGGAGTGACATTTTAGAAAGAGCATGTCGATGAGCAGCATTAGTAAAATTAAAATACCTTGAGACTGAAAGAAGTACCAGCTAACAGAGTGGGTGGGCTTGTAGGAGTGACATCCATATGAGTGAATGGTGTGTTTGAAGTTGTGGGAGAAGACAAATTAAATGGAGCAGAGTGCGGTTTCATCCAATTGTCACAATCCTGTGTTATTCTTGATAATGCTGCCTTTAACCTATCTGATAAATAAATAATAAATAAGTAAATTAATAAATATATAAAGCATGGCGTAGGACCCATACAGAATTGTCTTTGGTTTTTAATGGATAGACAGGAATAGGTAATAGAAGCACTCACGAGGAAGCATCTCTGTAGAGACTTTTCCACTTGGAAGAGAGCTCTGATTAACAAAGCACTCAAATACAAAATTAAAAAAAATCCCGAACAATTGGAAAATCCCCTGTTAAAATTTTTACGTAAAACCAGAGATTGTTAAGAGTTGATCCCTGAAAGAAAAAAATATCTTGACTATGAACTACTTTAAATGGACAAACCTTGAAAAATTCAACATTTACAAAGTCAAGCTTCTGCATTAGCCTTGCATATTTATCCAGTAACCTGTCGTGTAGACGTGTACTGTATTCAGCTTAAAGTTATGAATATCTTTGGTTAGGAAATGATTCCAAAAATCTTGCCTTAGTAGAGTTAGAGATGATCCTGTATGTGATGTCATTTCTTCATCATTTGAGAGTGATGAATGATGTCTTGAACGACTAGGTTTCGAAATACGGCTTGGAAGTTGACTATCTTCATCAATAAAATCAGCATGAAGATCGTCATTTTCATCTTCTGATAGAGAAGCATTCCCATTCACTTGATTATCATCAAGATTTTCTCGACTAGAACTCGGATTGAATGAACTCCCATTAGAGCTTCCAACTTCTCTAGAAGATGGTGATCCAGCAGAACAAGAATCTATATACTCCTTTGAACTACAGTTCAATTTCATCAGAAAGGGGTTTTCATTCTCCATCCAATTAGAAAATCCACTCTTAGAGTCAGATAGGGTAAGATCTTTTGACTTGTGTGCATGCCCCAATCGACTACTGGGAGAGTTTCTAGTCAAAGCAATCAAGGCAGCCCCATCACCAATGAGACCCGCAAAACTTACTACTTGTGTTACTTCAGGTGGCAATAGCAGCCAATTCTCCTTTTCCAACACCAATTTCATTGCCTGTACATAAAATGAATAGTTTAAGAATACAGAACTAATTGCCCATGTTATAAATGAGATTGAATTATGAACCAAAGAAGTGTGTGTGTGGGATCAAATGAGAATGATAGTTCTGTGAAATACGAGAATGAGTAAGGTGCATCTAATCAAGAGATCTAATGGCGCATCTAAGAAAATGAGTATTTTTAATAATCAGATCTTCCTGCCTCCTCACAGAGAACAGAAGAGCGCACATCTTTGCAAGAAAAGTACAAAACAGTGTACTAAAACAGAATATCACACGCTTGGATGAGAAGTGCACTTCTCACTGAAACTAAAATAGACACGATGACACACACACCGGAAGAATGGATCATTTTATTTATCCAGTAATTGAGGAACACATTTTCATGGCAAATATAACAATAAAATTCATCATCATCACATGTGGCATGAACTTTGTAGTGACAATATGTATTTACACATAGAGAACACTGCAGATATATGCAAGAAAGCATAGTGGAAGATATTTATGCCAGACACCCTTCATATTGCAACTTTCTTACGGAGGAATAATAAAATGAAATTTCAAAATTGTAATTATGATCTATCGTGATAGGACTAAAAACTCAAAACCATTCCTCCATCAGTTCAGTGACATATACTCCCTCCGTCCCTTATAACTTTGCCAACTTTCCTTTTTTGGTTGTCCCCAAAACTTTGCCACTTTCCCTTTTAATCAATCAATTTGTGGCTCCTGTTATTTCTCTCTCCTCTACACAAATATCTACCACACAGTTTTTACTTTATTATTCTACGTGCCGGTCAAACTTGGCAAACCTTTAAGGGACGGAGGGAGTATGAAGCTAGTACACAGCAATTAAAGTATCACATTTGCAGGCACAAAATATGCAGTTAATTGCAGGTGCTGATATAGCTTCAAGCATCAGAAAGGACATACGAGTCATAACAAAATGAGTAATCTATGATTGTATGCATACAGTTATCGGTATCATTGAACTCTACTAAAGAGAATTTCACAGGAAATTTAATTGGTTTATGTGTCCTAACCCTTGAGATTATGATGGAATAAAGAAAAATGGCTCACTAAACTGTCTGCGCTTCTTTGTTATGGAGCAGCAGTCAGTCCATGCAATTTTGGGCGCGATTTTCACTATGGGTCATCCGGAAACAGTCTCTTTGTGCTTTAGTACAGGGGTAAGACTGCGTACATCCGACCCCCCCTTACCCCACCGTAGGTGGGAGCCTTTGCGGCACTGGGGTAAATGAAAATGATAAAAATGATGTGTCCTAACCCTTACTACTAAGAGAGAGAAATAATAGGTAAAAATGAGGAAATATATTCACCCTTGAGCCAACCACCAATACTTCTAAAACGAGTGATCTCCTAATAGTACATTTCATGTTATAGGTCGCAAACATTAAACATGAGTGGGTAAGATAAAATCAAGTAAGCATTTCAGCACTCAAAAAAGTTATAACTTTCGAAAATATTCTTTCTAAGAAGCGAATTGTAAATAATGTATTCATTGAATGCTGTAAACATAACCAATTTACGACACCTGGCTACATAAGATTCGCACTGATCTTCAAATTGTGTGTTGTTTTCTTAAAATAGACTTTTCAATAGAAGATGCACGAACTGGTGTGTTTAGATTTACTGCTTTCCCAAAAAAAGTGTAGACATATTACACCAACAGTTTTTTATGTTTAGACTTGCAGCTTTCCAAAAAAATGTAGATATATTACTCCAACAGATTTCTATGTATATTCACTAAGAGCATCTCCAAAGCATAGCAAATTCATGATTCCATCACACCAGAGGTTCATAAAGTCATGGTGTGTCATTAATAGGCATTTTGTTATGCTATTGAAACACAAAAGCCAGACTATACACAATAGGCATAGGATTTTGTGCACCCTACATATATCTTATATTTATTCCTCTGTTCAGAGGAGGCAGTACGCAGAAAGAGGTTTATACTCATCATATGTTCTAAGTTGTCCGTATATGTGCACATGTATTGGGCTAGGGCAGATGGTTGATGATTAGTAAGTCATTTAGTAGTTCTTGGATTATACATCATCACAGCAAAGGATGATAGGGAATTTTAAGAGCAAACTTACATATATGTTTTGCCGATGAAAAGAAACAAAATAACTCTCACACACAAATTTCACTTTCTGCCTGAACTCAACGGCTTCACTCCCACAGAAAGCTTCCCCAGCCAAGATAAAAAGATTGAGATCTTCATACATTGTTATAAACTGATGAATACTGGTAGAACACACAACAGGAGACGAAAGTAACACTGCTGCACGGCTTGTTGTAAGCTGCCAGAGATTCCTCCGACCTCTACGTAAGGTTTGTGAAACGAAGGTCGTGGCATCCTTACGCAGCTGAAACCAGGGGGATCTGCTGCTTGATGCTGTCTTTCCACCATCCCTTACCTCTCCACCATTATCCATAACTGGATTATAAGCAGCAGTATTATCTGTCAAAGATACACAAGTTGCTGGTGTCTCTTCAGTGGAGGATAAATCTCGAGACCTGCCTATTGGTTCATGAAACAAACCATCACCCTGCTTGTCATGCATAGCAAGGGTTTGGCAAGCGGGGACCTGGACATCACAACATAAATAATGAGAGGTAATCATACTTTCACGCAATTCCTTGCTAAGTGCTAGCTGCAACATCGCAACACTTAAAAAATGCTCTATCCATAAAGAAACACTGGTAGCTAAAATAACTGGATATTAGAGATTATACTTAATGTAGTAGAATGATTAATTGACTACAAATCTAAAGTAGTGACATCTTAGAAGTATTAATTGCATTATCTTTATTTCAAATTCTACCTTAAGGGGTTTTGAAAATGAAATTATAAATGTTGAAGTAATTGAATGTGGCCATTTCCGTAGAACATCCCAATACAGTAAGTGGCAGTAACTGTGCACATTTTTTTCCCCAATAAGGCCAAATACATAAGGATTGAGAAGTAATCTGGACAAAATGGCACGCAAGAAAGATCAAGCATACCTCATCCCCTGGCTGGAAGCTCAAGATTGCATGATACGAACACATTAACTTAAATAGTACAGCTAGGGTTGCCAACAGACACTGCCTAAATTTGGATTCGGGCATCTGAATGCACAGATCACTGTATGTGAGCCTGGATGTGGAGCGCTCACAAATCAGATACAGATGAACCAGAACAGCTTCTTATAAAGACGATATGGGAAGAAGATTATACCTTTCGCCTTGCTCATTAGTACTTTCGAAGTCCTGCAATAAGTACTAGATGTTATCATGCAGGTGAAGCATACTGAACTGTCGTGAAAAAGGTCACCCAAGCAAAATATACTGTCATTGAGAATAGTATAGCCCAGAGAGTAAAAGTAATCTTATCCATGTTAGCTAACCGGTCCAATCAAAGCAAAGATTGTGTACTCACCCATTACTGCTTAAGGAAATTATGAAACCCCTATCAGAAAAATAAAAGGAAGTAAATAAACATACCTTTTGCACAATAGTCTTCAGAACTATATGTGTTTCAGAGAGAACCTCCTGCATGAAGAAACTTTGTATTTTTTCAGCAAGACCAGAAACATCCCCAATTAGAGCATAAGCATCAACCACCTGCAAATAATATGGAACGCATTTTTTAGAGATGGGTGTGACATATCACATTTTTTAATTATTGCATGTCTCTACTCTCTACGCACAAAATATTTAAATATAAAGAACCTGATGTCCTTGTTAGCTCACTGATAAATTTCAAAGCAGAATAGTATGAATTCAGTAGCAAAGTAAGAAGATCAAATCGAAAAGGTTTATTCTCCAACTGAACAGTTCACGGGGATACAGTGCTCAGGGACTATTCAAGACGCCCAATCTCCAAAAGCCAAGTCTCACAACCAAAATAACAGCCTACTGACAACCAGCTTCTATTATTCTATTTATTGTAATAATATCCACACAGCGATAAGGTATCATTTAATAGTTACTTAGCTATTTAACTAACTATCTCCCGGTTCCTCCTTTGATACACTTTATTAAAATACCGAGTGGGCTGTTGAGCTGGATGTCTATCATTACTTCCCCCCAGAAAATTCACCTTGTCCTCAAGGTGAAATTCTGGGAATTGCTCTCTCATCATTTGTACCAATTCCCAAGAATCTTCAAAACTTGGTAGCCCCTTCCAGTGTATCAGCACCTCAGTTTTGCCCTCTTTATTCACTCTGGAATCCATCATCTTCTCCGGTGTCACCTGCAATTCAAGGTCTTCACCCAAACACTTAGGTAAGGGCTGGAAGGACGTGTTTGGTGATAGCACCTTTTTCAGTAGGGAAACATGAAAAACAGGGTGTACTTTACTGTCTTCTGGCAGCTTTAACTTGAATGCTACTGGACTTATCTTGTCAATAATCTCAAAAGGCCCATAGAACCTAGGGCTCAACTTTTGGTTTATTCTTTTGGCCAAACTTTTGAGTTTATAAGGCTGAATTTTCAAATAGACCTGATCCCCAATGTTTAATTTTACCTCTCTTCTATGTTTGTTAGCTTGCTGTTTCATCTGGTTCTGAGCAATCTCTAGGTTCTTCTTCAATTCCCCCAACATAATATTCATTTGGGCTGTTAATCTGGACACTTCCTCTACTGCAGTAAGTGTTACATCTCCTCTGATGATGGCAGGAGGGTCTTGCCCAAATGAAGCCCTGTAAGGAGTTAATTTCAGAGATGAATGGTAGTTTGTATTGTACCAAAACTCTGCCCAATGCAACCATTGACTCCACTGTTTTGGTTTTCTACCAGTGATGCACCTTAAATATGTCTCTAGGCACCTGTTAACCACCTCAGTCTGCCCATCAGTCTGAGGGTGATATGCTGTATTGTACTTCAACTGAGTTCCTGCCAACTTGAATAATTCTGACCAGAAAGAGCTCATGAACAGACTGTCTCTGTCACTTACAATAGTTTTAGGAAAACCGTGTAATTTGACCACCTCCTTTGTGAACAATTCAGCTACTTCCTTTGCATTATAGGGGTGAGAGAGGGCCAAAAAATGGGCAAATTTAGTTAATCTGTCAACAATAACCAAGATAGTATCCTTCCCATGAGATTTTGGCAATCCCCCTATGAAATCCATGCTGATATCTGTCCATATGTTGCTGGGAATTAGTAGGGGCTGTAGCAACCTGTCTGGCTTAAGGGCCTGGTATTTGTTGGTTTGGCAGGTAGCACATCCTTCCACATACTTCTTGATGTCAGTCCTCATACCATGCCAATAGAACAAATTGGAGATTCGTTTCATAGTCCTAAAATACCCTGAGTGACCTCCCACTGCAGATTCATGATAGTCCCTCATAATCTTTAATACCCTTGGGGAATCCCTTGGCAACACCAACTTCTTTCTGTAATACAATAACCCCTTTATAATCTGGAAATCAGGGTACTCATCTGGGTGTGATATGACCTTCTGAATCAGGTCCTTGCATTTGCAATCTGAATTCAATTCCTCTTCTAACCCTTCCCACTCTTGGCAGGTGACAATGGATAAGGAGTGTAGTGTCAACTTTCTGGATAGGGCATCTGCAGCCCTATTCTCCTTTCCAGGTTTGTATTTGATGATAAAGTTGTATCCCAGCAATTTTGAAGTCCATTTCTGTTGTTCTTCCCCCATCACTCTCTGTTCAGTCAAGAACTTTAAGCTCCTTTGATCAGTATGGATTTCAAAAACCCTGCCAAGTAAGTAAGGTCTCCATTTCTGTACTGCCAAAACAATAGCCATGAGCTCTCTTTCATAAACAGATCTATTCTGATTCCTTTTTGACAATTCCTTGCTCATGTATGCAATTCGTTTTCCTTCTTGCATTAGGACTGCCCCCAGACCTGTCCCAGATGCATCTGTTTCTAAAATGAACATTTTATTAAAGTCGGGTGTAGCTAACACAGGTACTGAAGTCATAGCTCTCTTTGATTTTTCAAATGCCTAAGTAGCCTTGTCACCCAACCAAAAACTGTCTTTTTTCAGAAGTTGTGTAAGGGGTAAGGCAATTTGACTGTACCCTTTTACAAACCTTCTGTAGTAGCCTGTTAACCCCAAGAAGCCTCTCAGTCCCTTCAAATCTCTAGGTTCAGGCCAGCTAACCATGGCTTCAATTTTGGCAGGATCTGCTGACACTCCTTTTCCAGAAATGATGTGCCCCAAATATACCAACTGTGACTGTCCAAAAGAGCATTTTTTTAGATTGACCACCAACTCATTCTCTTTTAATGCTCTTAAAACCTTCCTCAGATGCACCTGATGTTCTTCTTCAGTCTTACTATATACCAGGATGTCATCAAAAAATACCAAGGCAAAATGTCTTAAGAATGGCCTTAATACTTGATTCATGAGAGCCTGGAAGGTGGAGGGGGCATTGGTAAGCCCAAAAGGCATAACTAGGTATTCGTAGTGCCCCTCATGTGTTCGGAAGGCTGTCTTTTGAATATCAGATTCCTTCATCCGGATCTGATGGTAACCAGACTTTAGGTCTAACTTGGAAAATATAGTAGCTCCTCCTAGCTCATCCAATAACTCCTCAATTATAGGTATAGGAAATTTGTCCGGTATAGTTATCTTATTCAACGCCCTGTAATCACCGCAAAACCTCCAGCCCCCATCTTTTTTCTTAGCTAACAAAATGGGACTACTGTAAGGGCTGTTACTGTGCTGTATAATTCCAGAACTCAGCATCTCTTTAATGATCTTTTCGATCTCTGTCTTCTGATATTGTGGGTACCTGTAGGGTCTAATGTTGGGGATCTCAGCTCCTTCTTTAATGTTGATGGCATGGTTGCAAGCTCTGTTTGGAGGTAAACCCTGTATGGGTCTGGAAACTTCTGGAAACTCAGCCACAATATCCTTCCAGATCTGATCCATCACCTTTTCTCCTTCCAATGGCACTAAACTCCCTTCAGGGTATACAAGAAATCCATCCCCAGTATCTTGTATTATCTGTGACATTGTTTTCAAGGAAACCTCTATAGAATTTAGTTGGGGGTCTCCTTGGATGCTTTGATCCAACCCCTCAATTTTCCATTTAATGCTTTGCTTCTGGAAATTTATCTCCACATCTCCCAAGCTGGTTAACCACTCCATTCCCAGTACTAAATCAGTCCCTCCCAAATTCAGAATATAAAATTTCTGCTTTATATCAGTCCCTTGCATAGATAAAATCAGATCTTCACATCTACCATTGTTGGTAATCTTCTCCCCATTCCCAATTTGGACTTTGTATCCTGAAACAATGGTATGAGGCAGTTTCAAGAGCTCTACCAGATCTTGTGATATGAAATTATGTGTGGCCCCACTATCAATCAAAACTTCCACTTCCTTTTCACCATTGCTCCATCTTAGACATCCTTGAACCTTAAAAGCTCTCATAGAAGGAATACCTTCTTTGCTCATGATAGACAATTGCATAGATTTAGATTCCATAACCTGCTCTTCTTCTTCTGAAATTTCAACCCCAATTCCTTCTTCTTCTTCCTCATTATCTGAGTCTTCTACCAGTATTAATTTGTAGTTTTTTTAGTTCACAAGTGTGTTCTTTGTTCCACTTCTCTCCACACTTGAAACACAGGCCTTTTCTGCTCCTTTCCTGATACTCATCCTGAGACAACTGAGGACCCACCCTTCTGATTCCTGAGGGATGAATCTCTGTAACTCTGGTCCCCCTTGAATTGAACCAAGGCTGGTTATTCTTACTATCTGCCCCATTCTTCTCAGTACTATGAGGTCCAGTATTGCCAAATTTGGACTTGTACCCCTCAGTCCAGACTTGTGATTTCACTGCTGCAGTCCCCTTCTCTTTCCCAAGTACCCGGTCTTCCTCCTTTCTCTTCAGATATATAGCTTCATTCCTATTCTCAATTAACAGGGCTCTGTCCATAATTTCACTCAAGGATGTGGAATTATGTAGTTTAAGTTCAGCTTTTATCTCCTCCTTCAAACCATTAAGGAAAATTCCCTTAAGGATCTCCATATCCACATTGATTTGAGGAGCTATCACCATTTCAAACTCATCTCTAAACTCCTTAACAGTTCCAGTTTGCTTCAAGCTAAGCATGGGTCCATTAGGATTCTGAATCAAGTCTGATTGAAACCTCCGAATAATAGAAGCCTTCAGATTCTCCTAATTTTTTCTTTCCGTCTGATGTTCCCACCAAATGAACCAGTTCACAGCCCTACCTTCCATCGCAACTAATGCAGCTTCCACCTGTTCTTCTTCATTAATTTGATTCAAACGAAAGTATCTCTCCATCCTCACAATCCAGTTATACGCACCTTCCCCATTAGAAACCGGTAAATCAATTTTTCTTCCTGTGTATACTGGAAATCTATGAATATCCTCGGTCCTTCTGTGATTTTGGATGTAAGAGTGGTCTGGATTACCTCCTAAAGTCACAGGGCTGTAAGATCATCGCGTGTGAACTCGGACTTGCGATCGCGATCTCTCTCTGGATCGCAGCTGTTCGGTCAACGCGGCTATGGATGCCGCCATGTTCGCCGCCATGTTTGATCAGCCACCACTGATCGTACTCCTTCCTGTACCTCCAACAGTGTTCCCTGTATCTCTGCGATGTTCCGTTCCACAGTTTCTACGCGAAACTCCATCTTTGCTCTCGTCCGTACCATCCACCACCGTACGTAATATTTGTTGAGGATAGCGGAACACTTCCGATCACCAGGAACGAGTGCTCTGATACCAGTGTTAGATCACTGATAAATTTCAAAGCAGAATAGTATGAATTCAGTAGCAAAGTAAGAAGATCAAATCGAAAAGGTTTATTCTCCAACTGAACAGTTCACGGGGATACAGTGCTCAGGGACTATTCGAGACGCCCAATCTTCAAAAGCCAAGTCTCACAACCAAAATAACAGCCTACTGACAACCAGCTTCTATTATTCTATTTATAGTAATAATATCCACACAGGGATAAGGTATCATTTAATAGTTACTTAGCTATTTAACTAACTATCTTCCGGTTCCTCCTTTGATACACTTTATTAAAAGACCGAGTGGGCTGCTGAGCTGGATGTCTATCAGTCCTCAACATAGAGAATGGGTCGTGAATAAGAAAGCCATGCAATAATATTATCAGTAATTACCATGAGCTCTATCCAAGAACATCATCTTTGATTTAAATTAAAGATAAACAACACATGCTAGCATACTTACTGGATTCCAAATGCATGTTTCGACTTCATCACAGAAAGATTATAGAATCATATTCGTACAGTATTTATCATATAGTGGAGAGAAGTGTAAAAATAAGAAAAAGCACACAAAATGAACCAACTTACAACAAAAATGCAATTCAAGGTTAATTTTAACAGGTGAGATAGCAAGATGAGGAAATTTTAGATGAAACATCAAATTATCAAGGTGATTTTGATGAAAACCAAGTAGCAAGGTGATTAACTAACGGTTATATAGCTCTCCTCTTTGAAATCCTGGCATACTCCTAATAAAAGAGCATCCAACTTTTGAAGTGTCTTCCCCAACCAAACCTGCAAATTCATGAAGCTCATTAACATACAATAATATGAGGACATAATAGTGGCAAAACAAAGAAATGCCATAAAGATAGCAGAGCTTTTGTTCCCACACAAGATCTAATTAAAAAACTGGAACTGAACGGGATTTCATAAAGAACTATTTACAGCAGAGACGTTCCTTTACGTCCACATCCTTAAAAAAGTTGATGTGTGTAAACTCTACCTCAACACCATGACTCATTTCTTGTACAGCTGAGAGTTGTGACAAACTATCCAGAATTTGCAAATACTCAGATAGTACTTGGAATGCCTGAAAGCCATGGGTCATTGGTCAATCATTTAGGCATTACTTGTGGGATTATGGCAATAGTATGATACACTGAGAAAAAGATTATTGCGAGATTCTTTTGGGGTAAGGTTGTTGGTGAAGAGGAGTGTGTGGAATCAAAAAGTTAGCAGATTGTGTCAAAACTCAGAACACAGTGGTACCTTAGAGAAGTTCCCTTCGTCCACTAGAGTTTCTAGGGTGGCTTGCATGTCTATGGCATGACGGAGCTCTGTTAAGATTGGAAGCATATCCTAGAAATTTATAAGCTGTCAAATTACGTTGAGCTTTTTCCACGATGAAATCAAACACCCACTAATAGTACCACTAATACATAACTGCTCATCAAGGAAAATTAGAATCAGAATCAACCCTAGCGATTGAAGCATGTAAGGGCATGCTTGTCTGGTGATCCCAGGTACTCCATGGAAGTTATTCTAGAGTACCAAACACTCACAATTCACAAAAGTGATTCTGCTTCTAACTTTCTAAGAAATCTTCAGACATAATTAGTTTGTGGATCCAAACACCCTTAAATGAAGAGTTGAAATCCTTTGCTCAGACTAGTGTGAAAAAAGTGATGCTGGCCTTGAAGGGAAAGGAAAATTAAAATACCAATAGTCCTTGTTTCTTTTTAGAATTTCGATGCACGACAAGATCCCTTGATATTTCATTCCTTGATGAGGTAAGGTGTCTCCGCCCGTTCTGTGAAAATTATGAAATATAGTTTATGAGAACCTCATATCAAAAGGAAAAGTCAACTTCATGGAAATATTAGCAGGGCAAAATAAAAAAAAAAGGCGTGAATAGCTAAATCAATTCATATAAACAAAATAAAAGCCAACTTCATCCAATTCCTTTACGTAAAAGGCATGCTACAACGGGGGTTTTCCTTAAATATGACTAAATTGAAGTCAATTTCCAAAAAAGTGACTACCTTTATATATGGACAAACATTTGACAGACAAGGTCATGTATTTGGAAAACATGATGTCACTGCCAGATTTTCATGTCACTAAAATATGTCACTGCCAAATTTTCATCACTTACGGATGTCAATGCCGCCGTGAAACATGTCACTATGACTGACGGAAAATTTTCCAACAACTTTTTCCAGCAACTTTTCTGGCGGAAGATTCGGCAGTGATTGGGTTGGTGTGGGGGAGGGGTTGGGGTGGAGATTGGATATAAATTACAATAAAAAAGGATTAATTAAGCAAAAGGTTAATCATATTTTTGGGGAAAAAAGAAACGTAGTCACCTTTTTGTATTTCACAAAGCTATAGGTAATATTTGTGTCCTTTTTCCTACAACATAATCAATATACAGAGACATGTCTAGACTCTAGAGATTCTTTATATGTGCCACAAGATCAAAGCTTTGATAGATTCCATCCAAACCGATGCATGTAACACTTTTATAATTTATAATTAAAAATTTAAAATAGGCGATCCTACTATACTAGAATGCAAGGATCTGGCTTCTTACCATGCAAATAACATTTGCGACCTTCAAGTCTCTTTCCAATTCCCTGACAAGATTCATTCCTTTCACTGCCAGTACAAGCACGTTGTTAAAGATTGAAAGCATACAACCTCTGCTTCCATGATACGAAAAGTGGAATCAAAAAGAGTGGCAGTTCAAACCAAGGAACAATACTAAAAAACTGAATAGGAAGAAGATAAAGCAGATACTCACTTCTGTATACAAGATGAACCCAAAAAAGGGTTGATAAATATGACTAGTTTACCATCCAAATTATCTACTAAAAGAGGCTAGAAATAATTATAACAAGCTCTAATTTCAGATCTTCTGATACATTCCTTAAGTGGCTCATCATTCAACACATGATAGAAAACACTGGGAATTTTGTGAACTGTATAGGGCTGCTTGCCCCCTAAGATGTGTATCTTCCCTCTCCACTGTTTACACTTCACTCAACAAAATGATATGTCATGGGATTGTTGTTATCAGAGAAAGGAGCTTGAAATTTCACCAAAATGATAAAATATACCTGAAGAATCTTAGGGTGGTAAAAGAAACAAAGAACACACAAAAAAAAAACTTACCCATGACTTCATGATGCTCCATAACATGGCGTGAAAGGCGTTCAGCAATTCTATCAAGCTGTTCTAATCTAAAAGCAGCCTGTAACAAATTTTATTGCCATCATCTTTTTTTGTACAACGGAAAAGAATATCATGATCATCTACATCACCATAATCATCACAGCTATGTTACATTACAAGAACGAAACCAGCATGCGCATCATACATACATATATACAAAAATGCTAGGTGCACACCTTTGTGTACATCTTTGGCACACCCTATAAAAGGGATCAAGGTTTACAATTATTACCCTCCCTCCCTTTCTCCATCCATACGGTTATCTCCTTCTTCTTTCTTCTTTTTCATTCTTTCATCTTCATCAAATATCTTAATCATCTTCCATCTTCATCACCATTCATCTTCACCATTTTCCATACCTCTCATCTTTACCATTTCCATCATCTTATTCATTTTCCTTCAACATCATCTTCCATCTTCATCACCTACCATCTTCACCATATCATCTTGTGTCATCTTCCATGTTACCTACAAGCGGAGTTGTAGTCACCGGAAATGTCACAGGAACTATTGATTGTGCCGTTAGTAAAATATTGTTTGTGTCATCCTAAATTTTGATAAAACTTATCTGTGTGAAGAAATTAAACTGAAATTAGTACATCTCTGTAAACCTTGGCTTTTTTATGTGGAAAAATATCAATTCTTACTAACAAGAAATGTTTGGGCACAGACAAAAAATGTATGAGTACACACAACTAATGTCTGTATACCGGCATTCGTTTGCATGAAACTCACATTATTTGTGTGCTTTTTCAGAAATGTCAGTGTTTAGGAGCACGGAAAATGTCGGAAACCAATGTCTTTATATAAATATTGGTTGTCTATATACAAACAAGAAATGTATGTACTTGTACATTTCTTTTGTGCACGGACATTGATTTGAGTGCAACTTAACCCTGACTTCTGTGCAACATTTTTATCTCGATACACAAACTGCAAAAAACCAATGTTTGTATACAGATATTTTTGTTGAATTTTACAAAAAGTCACTTATTTTCTATTTCATTTTTCCCTACGGACAAATTATATCATTATCCAGCAAGACACAGACAACATTTGATAGACCACACAAACAAACAAAAATCGGGGAATGTTCATCTCTAATTTTCCGAAAAATTTGTGGTAACTTTTAAACTTCATTTGTTTTTCTGGTCCGAGAAGATGATGACGGTGAAGATGATGGTGGAAGATGATGGTGAAGATGGAGTATAAATAAAAGAGAAAAAAGAAAGATAAGGAGGGAAGGAAAGATGATGAAAATGAAAATGAAAGAAAGAGGAAGTGAGTTGGAAGAGAGTGCATCGTATGGATAGAGAGAGGGAGGGAAGGGTAAAAATATTTTTGAACCCTTATATGTGGTGTGCCAAAGGTGTACACAAGGGTATACACCTAGCATTTTTTACATATACACATATACCTACGTATACACACATGCACATGTGAGAGTGATAAAATTAGTTGTGAATGCTAGATTAAAACCATTCTAGAAGTAACAGAAGTACATGTAAAATATAAGATATTTTAAGAAACTTCTGTCCATTTTGAATAAGTAAGATTATTCATGGACTATTTGCCCTGGTAAATCTTCACACACAACAAAAACCACATAACCAGGAAGTGTGTGGCTAGTTGAACTCAAGGATGAAAGACAATATATAACCCAAGATTGAAGAGTGCATCGATGTAGTTAAAAAGTCAACACATTGATTGTCAGTATGTGTAAAGGTACTTAATTTGAAGATTTTAAATGTTACAGTCTATGAGGCTCCTCCTGACTCAACTAGTTCAGAATGTTGTATCTTGTGACATCCATAACCTTATTAATAACAACGATGAATACTAATGAAAACTGGTTTTAATTTTAATTGGTAGATAACAAGAATTGTTTTTACAAGATAAATCCAGGGAAATAAGTTCCACAGTTTTGTAAAGACGGTTGAATATGAAGCAAATTTGCTAAAAGTATATTGAAACTGTATATACTTCGATTGGAGCCATCTTGATTGACAATTATGTATGCAGGCTATTCATTAAATAAAGAATCTAGACTAACCAAAACCTAGGAGCCACAAGTATCTTCATTACTCGCAACCCTTTTATTCTACACACCTGAAGACCCTATACGAAGAAGGTATTGGTCCAAAGTCCAACATGGTTTTTCACTTTTTCCTTAAAAACAGGAGTCCTGTTAATATTATTTTACCGAGTATATATAGAAACGTGTTCAGCTCAAACAAAGTGTGTTCCCTCTTGCCTGGACATAATTTGGACTCAAGTTGGGGTCAAATTCAGAAGTTGTGTGAACCACCAGATTAGAACACCAAATATAGGTATAATAAAATTATAATTTCACATCACTATTTGTTGAAATGTGAAATTGCACTTCATGTGCATATCATCATCACATAATTATTGAAATTGAGTGTCTAGCATCAACGCCCTGCTATATTGCAGTGTATGTGGCAATGATACTATGCATAAGATCAGAGTACATATTATATCTTGTCCTTCTTGTTATAAAGTAAAGCTGATTAACGTGGACTCACGGTGTAAAAATTTGATAGACATGTTGTCAAATAAAGTGGAAAACAATACATTTCAGTTCTCAAATTATACACATGCCAATATGTCCTCAAAAGTTGCGATTTTGGTCCCTTGATAGATGGATCCTCTGATGCTGTCAGAATTCTACGACAGTGACGAAAAATGAAATCACTAATGTACATAGACAGTGCAGACCTTGACAGCGTCTGGAACTTTGTTCTGTTATGGAAAGCTGGAGGTGAGCTGTGCGGTTTACAGAAGCAAGGGTTCAAACTCAAACACGGTTAAGGCACCTCCAAAGGATTGTGAACCATAACATATAAGCTAGTTAACATAATCCTAATCCCGTAACGAAGATTAAAGTCAAAGAACTACAAAAACAATGAGTATATAATGAAACAGTCATAGAGCTGTACCTTTTCTTCAAAATATATCAGTTCATTATCATCAGTCGGAATATGGTCGAGAACGTGTCTTACTGGATCAAAATCCTAAATGAAAAGAGGCACAAGAATATTGGTTAAATTGAAATAATGATGATAAAAATTGTGCCCAATGGGTTATATAATAATAGTGAAATATGAATAGATGGAAACCAAAGAAAATATGAAATACCAAACATAAAGTTCCACAAATAAGGAAAAGCAGCACTATCAACTTATATTCATATAAATATATCAAGCAAGTGGCCGTATATCAATAACTTCTACTATAGAATTATGATGAATAAAGATAATAACTACTACTATGACCTAATAATACCAAATAAAAGTACTAGAATATTAGATAAAGGCATGAAAGGCAGTGTTATTAACTTAGATTATTAGAAATGAAAGATGAACCTCTTCATAAAAACAATCCTCAAGGTCATCTAACACTTTACTGGGAGATACGCTGCCATATATTGAGCTTAATTCTTCAGAACTTGATGAAATATTATGCCTTTGATGTGGAGGTAGTCCAGCAAGAACACGTGCAACAGCAGCTGCCGCTGCTGCCTGTGGTGGAACCTGTGATAACACACTTAAGGAAATGATGATGCATCTTCAGCAATATAAACATTCCATATTTTCAATTATGAATTTGTTATGTTTGCAGGCATATAACAGCTATTGAAATTTGATAAGTAAGCACAAGTTTGAAGGTGCAATGTATATCCAACAATCTCTTCTCATTATGTGTCCTGACTCCTGAGTCTACTACTTGTCATTGGATTTATCAATACCAAAGAGTTTCTAATCATTCCCATCTTCCCCTAGTTCCCCGGTCAAGCAAGGATATAAGAAAAATGCCAAAATCTACAGCTCAATTGCACCGACATAAATGGATCAAATTACCTCAGGGCGCTCTAAAGGAGGAGCAGGGAGAAGGCCAAGGGATCGGGCTGAGCGAACGGAACTCAGGATCTTCTCTCCGACCTTAGACAAGTCCATGCCTCCAGCACCGCCACCAGGAGGTGAAAAAAGCAGGGAACCCAAAAACAAATACCTGGAAAGCTCAAACCCGCCTTCGCTCAATTCAACACCATTGAACAACGCAAGTGGAATCAGAGGGAAAGGCAGCGAGTTAGACTGCATTTCAGTTCAAATCAGGCCGTGTCGGCGCCATTTCTTCGAGATCGAAATGGAATATCAGCTGAACAAGCGAAGAAACATAGAAGCGTTCGAACAATGTTCAGATCAGATAGGTGTTGGTCCAGTCCGATCAAAGTCTGTCCACTGGTTCGTGTGGCAATTTGGACAATGTCTTTTTTCGATGAATCGTTTCAACGAACTTTTTTAACTACTGTAGTTTTTCCGAATAAAAGTTGTAAACTTGTAAATTGGAAGTCTTACTTTCGACTTAACTTTCTTTATCTGATGCATTTTGTAAATTGAAAACATATACTCATAAATTCAAACTCATTTAATGGAAACATGATTAAGATTGATTTTTTGAATGATTAAGATTAATCCAAACTCAATTTAAAGGAAAAATAATTTAAATATCTCAAACTTTTAATGGGTGTGAGATGAGTACTCCAAACTTGCACATTTAATATATTTATTTATACTTCAGACTTTATATAAAAATTTATGTTAGCATTATGAGTATATATTTTTTCACAAATGTAATTTTATGGTGTTAAAGACATAATTTAAAACACACAAAATATTTATGAGAATGCAATTAAAATTAAATTGCAATGCATGTAATATTATTTATTTCACAAATGAAATTTAGAATATTAACTACATTTTAACCATGCTTAGAGTATTTTAAATTGTGTAATTATTCCAAAAAACTTGTATTGGTAAAAAAACATACAATCATGGTGCGAAAATAATTTTTTATATAAAGTTCGGGAATATATATTACATATGTAAGTTTGAGGTGTTTACCTCACATCTCATTAAAGTTTGGGGTATATAAATTATTTTCCTCTAAAATTAATAGGAAAATTCTACGGTACATCACTAAATATAGCATGTACCGGTGCACTCACTTTTTAAACCAATCAGATAATAGCACAGTGCCAGTTCACGTCCTAATCATCGAAATTTAATATTTTGCGGTTTAGTCCTCTCAAAATGAGAAAGTCGAGGAAAATTAATACTCCCTCCGTTCCATTGGACTTTGTCAATTTTCCCTTTTTTGGTTGTCCCAAAATAACTAATTTGTGGTTCTGCACATTTTTCTCTCCTCTGCACAAATCTCAATCACGCAATTTTTATTATTGTTTCTCACCTACTTTGCACTTGGCAAAGTCCACCGGGACGGAGTATGTTGGTATGGTAGGTTATTTACCAAATTAGTCCCCATAAATCACTTTTAGCAAGTCAAATGCAAAACCACTCATTTGTCTATGGTCCTAAAAGTTAATTTTGCAACACAAATTTTGTCTTATCTCAGTCTTCAAAAAATATACGAAGTATAAAACATGATGTGAAAAGCATAGTGAAACTCATGCTTGTCATATTTGTTTACAAAAAAATCTTTTGTACGTCTTCTTAAACACATCAGTACACCCCCGTGTCTGTGAGAGTTTTGTTTGTCTGTGAATCTCAGTCCACAGACAAAAATTGGCTTGTTTTGTCTGTAGAATTTTTCACAGACAAAACAAACCAGTTTTTGTCTGTGGACTGGGATTCACGGACAAAAAAAACTATCACAAACATGAGGGTGTACTGATGTGTATAAGAAGGTGTACACCAAGAATTTAACATAGAAGTATCGTCTATGATTAGCTAGTGATCAAAAATAGCATACATCCTAGAGATGAAAAACAAACATAACACTAATTTGTATGAATCTTAGCAAAAATACACGGAGTACTATATTTGCAGTAATTACAAATAATATTTTTGGCCTAGAAGTGATTGAGTTATTTTGTAATTTAATTAGAGGCATGTTATCATGTGTATATTCATCTGATTATTTCTAAATAAGTGTAAGAAACCTATTCTCGATCTATGGTAAAGAATTTGCTTTAATGTAAAAATCTTTGATGCTAAGGAAAATGGTAGCTTTGTCATTATTCCTATGGGGCGGAGAAAATCAAGCCTGATTGAATTTTTGAATATTTTCTCCAACTTTGTGGGACTACAAAATTTAGCACAGGAGAACCCGATTCTTTTTCCGCACACCAACACTAATGGAGTTGAAAGCACGGAAAAATGTACTTCCTTATTCAAAGCAATTTTTTCCTTGGATATTCTGACAGCCTGCTCCACTAAACCACGAATCATATCTGCAGAGGAGGACAAGTGTGGCCTCGGTGAGGACTGAGGAGGATCCTGAGGCGCTTAACCCCGTCGAGTACATCTCTCCCTCCAAAATAACCAGGGAAACCCATTCACAACCAATGGAAGCAGATGTATCGAGCAATGATTATGACACTCCTCCATCAGAACAAGAACTATTGTATGGGTTGATTGAGATCAAAATTACTTCTATTCCAAAGAAGAGGAGCTAGCACTCGCATTAGATCCAAGATTGCACATGCTCTACATTAATTTGTTGGGTTCCCCACCGTAGCATCTTTGCTTTTTGGCTCCTTTTCTTTTCTTGTATTGTCCTTTTCCCTTTCCTCTCTCATACTGTTTTTTCCTTGCATTGTACTTTTACTCTATTCTCAATTATAAAGTCGAGATAATACCAGGCGTAGTAAGAAACTCAATGATTACACTTCGGTTTTGCCTCACGTTAATGAGCTCCATAAGACGTTGATCATGTGTGATGGACAAATGAATGCTTAATTTGATCATGTCAGTCTCTATGCTTCTAACTTGATATGCAAACATATACCTCCTCTAAAAATTTCAAAACAAATTAACAACAAATAATATAAAGTGCCTAAACAAGTGAAATTACGATTGAAACTAGTCATCAATGATAATACGTCACATAACGCCCTCGTCTCACTTCACTGAACCTGTAGATATGCCGCGTCTGGCAGAACATCAATGACTTTTGCGATTTGAAACATACATGCCTGGATAAAAGATAGTATCACCCTTCCCATCAATGGTTCGTAGGATTCGGAAGGTGGACGATCCATCGATATTGTCATACTCAATTCGAGAAAAAGTGACATTTGAGAAAATCTACATAGAACTACAAGATTGCCTTTGATAGAAATAAATCACCGCTCATATGTGCTCCAGACCACCTTTTAGATATTTTGTGAATAATTAAGAATTTGAAAAACAGCACTTCGGGGACATCAACGAGGGGGGGCAGCACTAGGGCTTTTTTTTGCTTGCCCATGCTCTTGACACGTTGCGGTGCAGAAAGTTTTATTTTCAGATTGAAAATTCTTTTATAATATAGATAACAATCTATGATGTTAGATTAAAGTTAATTCAATTGATTTCATATATATGTTATAATTTTGATCATCCACTTTAAATAGCCTTTGATTGCTTAAGTAAAGTCCTACACGTAATTAACATTTGATTTCGCTCTATCAATGACATTGACAACCGCCAATGACATCTCATTATTCGCCCTTCACCAGTGACACTTAAACTAGCACATTAGTGACCCATCAAACCATATAATGACGCTCCCGACAATGGTAGGTATAGCGCAACAGCGAGACTAGTGACACTATTACTTAGTGACACCATTGCTCTCAATTATAAAGACGTTGCGATGATAGTTACACCACCACCCCGTCGAGTTACATGACACCGTTCCGGTGACACCCACATGTACACCCAATGACATAAACATTGTATGGTGGTGTCATCGCCAGTAACTTTTAGTCCAAACCATCATCTAACCTTAATGAAACGGTGATCAGCGTTGGAGTTTAAGCCCTCAGTCACAATAAGCTCACTTCGCCCAAAGCCTTATATGTCTTTCATGGTCGGACCCCCACTCACCATCATAGTTAGTTAAATACGGTACGGGAATTAAACGTGATTTAATACGTACATGTTTTATTCAGTAACTTGTACAAAAATACGGTCAAAAATCGGCAAAAAATACGTTGACTTTTATAAAATGTGTAAATATGTATACGTGTATAATACGGCATCTCTTACAAAAAATCGGGTTAAAAATAAGGGTCTTGTTTTGAATGATTAAATTATTGTACTAGTTTTTAGAGCATGAAAAACATATAGTACATAAAGGATAATCAACATACACACACTCAAATATAATATCTCATTACTCCATCAAAAAATGCATTCATGATAGCATAAGTTCATGACAAAAAAGAAACAATGATTAAGTCCAAAATAACATTTAAATTATATACTTCATAAAATAACATATAATAAAAAGAAATAAGAGTGTACACATATTGAAGTAGCAGATCACACTACTACATAAAAGAATAATTCGTAATTGCATAAGTCGATGAAAAAAGTAAAAGTAGTACGAAGTAATTAAGTCCAAGACATAATTTTGCAAAGTAAAGTAAGAAAATAAGGCATAATAACGATAGAATGAGGCTAAGTTAACATCATCATCATCTTTATATGATCGTCAAATAACGCTCAAGTTAACCTCATCATTTTCACCTAGATGACGGATGACATGAGAAAGTTGTGCTACACTTACTATTGTTTATGTGCAAAAGTTTATACTAAAAATGCCAGTTTAGAAAAACCTTAATTTTGATATACTTGTTTGGAAAAGATCATCACAAATCTAATACATACTAGTATTTTAGATTTTAGTCTTTTAGGATGCTAGCTTTAGTCATCATGCAATTAATTTTAGTATTTAATAATTGTATATTTTGTATTGTAACAATACAAAAACACGGGGTCAGGGGGCTGAGTTTTTTTTTGCTTTTAAACTATTGTTGATCTCCTATTCATTTGATGTATTCATTCAAGTGATCAAATGATGTTTTTATTTTTTGTAAAATATGGGAAATATACGTTTTATACGGGAAGTGGAAGTGTTTTTCCTTTTTAAACGGACCGTCATTATTTTTCGGTCCATAAAAATCCTTCGGTGATAATAAAATTTTAGATTAAAAAATCTCTTATAATACAAATAACGTTCAATCTATGATATTAGATTTAAGTAAGTTAAATTAATTTCTTAGATGCATTATAGCTTTTGATTGTATACTTTAAATAACATTTGATTGCTTCAAGTAAAGTGTTATTAATTGTACTACACTTTAATTAACGTTTGGTTCCGCTCTATCGGTGACATTGACAATCACCAATGACATCTCGCTCTTCGTTGGTGACACCAGCAGGGCCGAACCTCTACGTGAGGCAAAGAGGCAACTGCCTCAGGCCCACAAATTTGGGGAAAAA